TATGAGGCACCAATGGCTCCCATTACCCCAACTGTTCGGCTTGACGCTATTGGCTCTCGTCCTGACAGTTGCGGTAGCCTGCGGAACCGCAGCAGAGGAGGCGCCCGCCGCGGCGCCTGCGGTACCAGCAACTGACGCGCCCGCTGCGGCAATGGCCGAAAGCACTCCCGTCGCGAGTTCAAGCTCGGGTGGGTCGAGCGTCGCGGCTACTGCCACTCCCGAACCCACGGCTGTGCCGCAAGTCTCGAATACGGTGGCACCCAGAGGGACTTTGACATTCGGATTGCCCCTCGTCGCCCCGTTCCACGTTTTTCCGACGGTCACGGAAGGAGCCGGGTATCACCATAACGGCTACACCACCGCCGAGACGCTCCTTTACATGAACGCAGACCAGGAGATTGTTCCCTGGTTAATCAAGGAATGGAGCGTTGCTCCTGACGGCGTCAGTTGGACGTTCAGGCTGCAAGAAGGCGCCCAGTTCCATAAGGGCTACGGAGAACTGGATGCGGAAGGCGTCATCTGGAGCTTGATGATCAGCGGCGGCGAAAGTTCCCGGGTGGCGTTCAACACCCATATCCGCAGGATTTGGGGGCTTGGCGGAGACGTCAAAGAGGGTAACGTTGTTACCGGCATCATCGACGAAGGGCGCGTGCAGGCTGTAGACAAGTACACCATCGAGTTGAACACCGGGACGCCACAGTACGACACCTTGGGTCTGCTTGCTCGCCCCCATATCAGCATCATCAGCCAGCGACAACTCGAAGAGGTGGGTGTCGAAGCGGCGAGCCGGAACATCGCCGGAACCAGCCCGTGGGATTTCCAGGAGCACCAGAGCGACCAGTTCACCCGCTGGGCCGCGGTCGAAAACCACTGGCGCAAGACACCTGAGTTTGCCGAACTGGTGTGGCAGCACATTCCAGAGGAGTCCACCCGCGTGGCCAACTTCCAGACCGGCAAACTCACGGCGATGGAGATGAATCTCGACTCCATCGCAGCGGTGGAGGACTCCCCGGGCACCAGTTTCGTGAGGATAGCCGGAGGCAGCGGCGTGAGTATGGCCTTCTATGGCAACTACTACGTGGGAGTAAACGAGGACGGGTCACGTACGCCAGAACACGTGGAAAGAGTCCCCGGCTTCGATCCTGATCTGCCCTGGATTTCCGGAAACCCCGACCCTGAATCCGAGGAATGGCAGAATGCCGCCAAGGTGCGAACGGCCCTGTCAATCGCCATTGACCGCCAGACAATCTCGGCTACGCTGCTGAGCGGCGAGGCCATCCCTGACTCCCTGCCGGCGTGGGCGTTCCACCTGGACAAGCTGCCGCCTGAGTACCGACAGTGGGAGTTCAATCCCGAGAGATCCAAGCAACTGCTCGCCGAGGCGGGCTATCCCGACGGGTTTGAAATTACCCTCACGCCCCTGGGCGGCTCGAATTACCTTGAAGTGACTTCCGCCATCGCCCAGATGTGGGACCAGATCGGCGTCAAGGCTAACCAGCAGAACCTGCCCTACAAGACCTTCCGCCCGGGCATCGTAACCCGCACCTACAACCAGGCGTACCAGCACACCCACGTGGCGCCTGACCCCCTGGACCGATGGTCCACCGCTTTCAACCACGAGAGCGCCTGGAACTTCGGCACCGACCATCCAATCCTTAGGGATTTGATGAACGAAGCCCAGGGCACCGTTGACCCTGAAGCCCGGTTCGCGATCATGGTTGACGCGGCGAAGTTCATGTACGACAACGCCCTCACGGTCGGCCTCTATGCGCAGAACCAGGTATTTGCCCTGAATGGGGACACGACACCCTGGGACGAGCACCTGAACTACGCCGAAACGCGGGACCTGACTGCGTTCGAGTACGCTCCCAACCTCACCACTCAGTAAGGTTCGGATGGCTCAGAGAATATCCAAATGGCTTCGGCTGCGGCCGTAAGTTCGCTTGACAGCAAGCATCTTCATAATCGCTGGGCGCGCAGGGCTCGGACTGCTTCTGGCCCTCGTGCTCAGCTACATCGGGGTATGGGTTGCCTGGGGCCTGTACTATTTCTTCACCGACACCTCATCCAAGCCGCTGCGGGATGCAATGTTCCTGGGCGGAGCAGCAGTCGGGGCCGCACTTGGCGGGTCTCTGACGTGGCTGCGCATAGACGGGAATACTTTGCCGGCAGTCCTGGTGATCGGAGCCGCGGCACTGGTGGGGGGGATTGCCGGGTCCTGGATTGGGTTCGAATACGGGTTGAACCGCGAAATCAAGTGCTGCTCGGATCCTCCCGTCAACGCCTTCTCCTACGCGGCGGTCGGCGCCACCGTGGTAGCCAATCTGGGGACCTTTCTACTGGGCATTGTTAGAGAAATCGTCACCTTCAGGCGATAGTGCCGGGTTGAACGTATCTGGACATTTGATGCTGGGACCTTGATATGCAACGGTTTTTGATACGCCGATTCTTCCTGGTGATAATCACACTGCTCGCGGTGTCGATGATCATCTTCGTCATGGCCCGGGTGGGCGGCGACCCAAGATCACTGCTCTTGGACGATCATGCCACCAAGGAACAATGGGAGTTGCTGGGCGAGGAGCTGGGGCTGGATAAGCCCCTCTATCACCAGTACGCGATTTTCATGGGCGGGGTTCTGCGCGGTGATTTCGGCGAGTCAATCAGCCAGCGCCGGCCGGTGCTGGAGGTAGTCGCCGAAAAAATCCCGGCGACGCTCCAGCTTGGCGGGGCTGCCTTCCTGCTCGCGCTCATTGTCGGGATACCCATGGGTGTGCTGTCGGCAGTCACGCGGGGCAGTGTTCTGGACCAAGTCGGGAGGGCCGTGGCCTTGATAGGACAGGCGGCGCCGTCTTTCTGGCTTGGCATCATCTTTATCTTCTTCTTTGCCGTGTTCCTGGGGTGGGTGCCTCCGTCCGGAAGGCAAGACTGGAACAGCTTCATACTTCCAACGGTCACGCTGGCATGGGGCGGGTTCCTCGCCGGCAGCCTGCGATTGATGCGCTCGGCGATGCTGGACACACTGGACTCGGAATACATCAAACTGGCCCGGGCAAAAGGGTTGCCCGCCCGGTTGATTATCTGGAAACATGCATTTCGCAATGCCCTAATACCGCCATTGACCCTGGCGGGCGTATCGATGCCCGCTATCCTTACGGGCTCCATCACCACCGAACTGGTATTTGCATGGCCGGGAATGGGCCAATTGGCAGTGCAGGCCCTCTGGTCGTCTGACTACCCGCTGATCCAGGGCCTGACTATCATGTTCACTTTGGGATATGTATTCGTCGCGTTGACGGTTGACATACTCTACGCTTACATCGACCCCAGAATCCGATACTTGTAGGAGATACAGGTCCTCAGCGAGTGTAGCGGCCCCCCCCGCCGCGCCGAGGATCCACGTTTCCAGAGAAGGCCTGGAGAAGTCAAATGGCGCAAGCTACAGTTTTGTCTCCCACCAAACCCGTCATCGTGCGGGCGCTCAGCGCCATGGCGCGCTGGCGCCGCCCGGTGCTGATCATTCCGGTGTTTATCCTGACATTGGTGGTGGTGGCTGGAATCACCGCCGACTGGATATCCCCGTACGACCCGAATGTAGGGGACCCGAACCACCGTCTTCAACCGGGGTTCTGGGCGTACGAGCCAGTCCCTGCCGTGATAGTAACCAAAGAGGTGGTGGCGGTAATCAGTCCAAGAGACATCGAACTACAGAAAACGCAGATCACCGAATACAATGCCATCCAGATAGACCCCAACGCGGTTATCGGCGACAAACTGGAAGTGGTTGTTCGGGAAAGCATCGATACACTTTATATTCTGGGCACCGACCACTTGGGGCGGGATCTGTTGACTCGGATTATTCATGGCGCGCGCGTTTCCCTGGTGATGGCCGGTCTGACTTTGCTGGTGGGCGGTACGATGGGCACAGTGCTCGGCCTGACCGCCGGATGGTACGGCGGGTGGGTCGACGAGGTCGTAATGCGCATGGTGGACATCATACTTGCGCTCCCTCTAATCCTGGTCGCCCTGGTATTGGTTGTGGCCCTCGGACCATCCTTCCAGCTAATCATCGTGATAATGGCGATAGCTATCTGGCCACTCTTCACCCGCGTGACGCGAGGCGAGGTGCTGCGCGTCAAGACCGCGGACTACGTCGCGTTGGCCCGCGTGGCCGGGGCCGGGACAATTCGCATCATGCTCGTCCACATCCTGCCGGGAATAGCCAACAGCGTGATTGTGGTGTCGACCCTGCTGGTGGGTGTGGTCATCCTGCTGGAGGCCGCCCTGAGCTTCCTGGGAGCCGGCGTGCCGCCTCCGACGCCAGCCTGGGGGTCCATGCTCTCCGAAGGCCGGGACAGGATCGCAATCGCGTGGTGGATTTCGTCGCTGCCCGGACTGGCGATATTCGCGACGGTGCTGTCCCTGAACCTGTTCGGTGACTGGCTGAGGGACGCCCTGGACCCCAGGCTGCGGCAACTGGAGTAGCCATAGTCCCGCATACATGCGCCCTGAAACCAGCAAGGGCCGACGGCTTTGGAAGGTCTTAAACTGATCCCAAAGCGTCGGCCTTTTGCTTGGCCGTGGGTGATGCCATGTTGTGGTCCCCCGGCGTTTGTCGCACGGTTTCCATTGAAGGCATCATGTCTCTCAATACCTGCTTGAACTTTCACGACAGCTGACGCGAGGCGGTGATCTCCATCAGACTGAACGCATGGGCGCCCGGCACCGGATGAACGGCAACCGGCACACGCACCGTAACAGCGAGTACCTGCCGCCGGCCGCGTGGCTGGAGCCTCATCCGTGCAGTCGCGATCCAAGTCTTGCTCTGCCGCATCCACCCATTCAACGCCGCGGCCGTTGACCACTGGGTTCGCCTGCTAACGATTTGCTCCACTGCCGAGACTGGCAGACGACGGGCGTTGCCACTGCATCCGACATCGGTGGTCAGCCCGTCGAACCCGCCTTGACATCGCGATTGCCCCGGTTACAATCGCCCGAAAAGCCGGCGCCGAAGCCACCAGCCGAAAAAGGAGAACCTGCAATGCCGTTCTACACCAGAGGCGATGTCACCATCCATTACGAAGAACAGGGTTCCGGATTCCCCCTGCTGTGCACACCCGGCGGTGGATTGAGCTCCGTCATGAGCGGTTGGCCGAGGCAGGTCATCGACGCGTTCGACGAGTTCAAAAACGACTTCCGCTGCATCACCATGGACCAGCGTAACGCCAGCGGCGGGCAGTCCACCGGCCCGGTCCAGGTCGAAGACCCGTGGGGAGCATTCGCTGACGACCAGCTGGGGCTAATGGACCACCTGGGGATAGACCAGTTCATGTTCATCGGCTTCTGCATCGGCGGTCCGTTCGCGATGACGCTGATCAAGAACGCGCCCCAGCGGGTGCGGGCGGCGGTGCTGTGCCAGCCGGTGGGCCACGCCGAGAAGACGCCGGACGCCATGTACGATTCGGGCATGGACCCTTGGGGACCCGCCCTGTGCGAACAACGTGACGGCCTGACGATGGACACCGTCCAGCAGTATCTGCACAACCTGTATCGGATCCAGCCGGACTTCATGTACAGCGTGGACCGGGACTTCGCGCGCGCCTGCCAGACCCCGCTGCTGGTGATGCCGGACGACACACCCTCCCACTCTCTCCAGGCCGCCATGGACATGGTGGCGTTGGCTCCCAACGCGCAGGTAACCGCGTACCCTTGGAAGGAGGAACCGGGCCTCAAGGCCACGACCATCGAGCAGGTGCGCGGCTTCCTGAAGACCCACGAGCCCGTGGCAGCCGCCCGCTAGTACTATCTCCCAAGAACCGATCGTAAGGTCTCCCGTCACGCGGAACGACCGGGATCATCGGCCGCCCCGTGGCTTCATGCCCGGGGCGGTCATCCTTTGTCAGGTCTGGCCGGCGTCACGTCTGGCCGGCGTTCTCTCCGAACTGCCGCCCGAACAGCGGGGTCATCAACCCGCTGAGGACCGTCACGCCGATGCACAGGTAACCGATCCCCGCATATCCCAGGCTGGCCAGCAGCGCCCCCGCGATGGCTGCTCCCAGCGCACCCCCGGACTGGTTGCACAGCCCCATCAGGCCGGCCCCGGTGGACTTGGAATCACCGGAATACTCGGTGCTGGCCGCCACCAGCGCCGGCATCGCCACGCTCAGCAAACCGGTTCCCGCCATGACCGCCACCACCGCGGTCCAGAGCCCCAGGTGCAACGAGAAGAACAGGAACGCGCAGACCCCGCCCGCGACTGAAGTGACGGCGATCAGGGCGGCCCGGTATCTCGTTCTGGCCACGTACGCGGCGGAATAGCCGCCGACAATTTGACCAGCAGCGGTTATCACCAACGGCAATGCCACCAACCCCAAGGGAACATCGTAGGCCAGTATCAGGTGCGCCGGGAAAAAGCTGAGCGTTGCCCAGAACGCGATGCGCTGCGTCATACCCACCGCTATCGCCACCCGGAAAAAAACGCAGCGACAGCAGCGACATATACCTGGAGAAGAACACGAAACTCCGGACTCGCTCCCGGCTGTCCTTGGGAAACCAGATCCAGTTCGCCAACAACCCCAGCGCCAGCACCGTGCCGGCTACTACGAAGGGCAGCCGCCAGCCCCCCAGGTCGGCCAAAACTGCCACCATGGGGACGGTGATGCCCGATACCACCCCGTTCATGGCCAGCAACGCGGTGACCGCCAGCGCCCGTCGGGCCGGGGAAATCACGTCGGACACGACACCCACCGCCGTCGGCGGCAGCGTTCCCCCGGCCAGACCGGTCAACATCCGGAGCGCCAGCAGGGCTTCGATGTTGGGGGCAAATGCCGATGCCAGCACCGACACGGACAGGATCACCAGTCCGGTCAGCGCCACGGGCCGGCGGCCTAAAGAATCGTACAGCGGCCCCACGCAGATCAGGGAAACCGCCCAGGCTGCGAACGTGGCGGTAGCCAGCTGGCCCGCCACCGCCACCGAGACGTCCAGGTCCGTGGCGATTTCCACCAACAGTGGCGGAACGATGAAAACCGCGCTCAGCGCAGCAAAGACGGCAACCGACAGCGCGGCAAAAAACCGGGCCTTGTTGATCTCTCTTTCGCCGGCCCGTGCCGCTTGCGTTTCGATTGCGCTCCTCTCCTGGAACAATAGCGGCGACCCGAACCAACTCGCCGCGCGCCGAAACGCCCTGCCCGCAACCGATTGGTGAATGGGGAGCCGTGCGATCGCCAGGATCGTTCAGCGCCGCTGAGCGCGGGCAGTATAGACCCGCGGATGGACCCCGCCTACCGCGCCTCGCTGGCTGGGCATGGCAGTTCAATCCTCCCGAATGTCATTGCGAACGACACGATGCTCCCCAATGTCATGGCGAGCGCAGCGTGGCAATCTCGTCGCCGCAGCACTGCCTCTCGCCAAACGCTGCCGCCTGGCACCGTAACTCCCGCCCCCTCCATACCCGACCACAACATTCGTTTGACCCGCCCCGTCTGCAGCGACATCCGGTCCCCAGCGCCCCGCCGGGGCCCGTACCCAACCGTCAATTCGCGGAGATCCCCCTACTGCGCTGTCCGCCCACCGTCGATCACCACTCAGAGCCGGTGACGAATGAGGCCTCGTCGCTGGCGAGATACAGGACACCGTAGGCGATCTCGATGGGCTGTCCCACGCGTCCCAGCGGAACCCTCCCCACCTGGGCGGCCACCCTGACCTCGTCATCCTCCGTCGTCCCCAGCATCGGCGTCTGCACCGGCCCGGGGTGCACCGAGTTGCACCGGATGCCGTCGCTGGCGTGCTGATGGCGGTGGACTTGGTGAACAGGCGCACCGCTCCCTTGCTGGCGGCGTAGGCTCCCGAGGTACCCGGCGCCGGCGCGATGCCAGCCCCCGACGAGATGTTGACGATGGAGCCGCCCCCGGCCTCCCGCATGACGGGAATGACCTCCCGGGTGCCCAGGAACACGCCCTTGACGTTGATATCCATGGTGCGTACCCACTGCTCTTCGGTCATGTCTTCGATGCCGCCCCTGGTGGAGATGCCGGCGTTGTTGACCAGGATGTCCACCCTGCCGAAGCGGGATACCGCGGCGGCAACCGCGTTTCTCCAGTCTTCCTCGCTGGTGACGTCCAGATGAACGAAGAGGCACTCCCCACCGGTCTCGTTGATCTCGGCTTCGGTTCGCCGTCCCACGTCGTCAAGCAGGTCGCCGATGACGACCTTCGCGCCCTCTCCGGCGAACAGCCGGGCCTCCTCCGCGCCCATTCCCCGGGCTCCGCCGCTGATGATGGCGACCTTGTTTTCCAGCCGCATGGTTCCGCCTCCTGCCATTCGATGGTGGAACGATTGTAGCCGCAGCGTAGGGCAGGTCAAGTTGGGCCGGACGTTAACCCCCAATCCACCGAAGAGATGATTGTGGCGGTGTGCTGAAGGGATAAGAAAGTGCCCCGTTGCTTCTGGGATAATGGTTTGTGAAACACCAAACCGACCCAAAAGAAGGAGCACCAAATAGATGCTACCACGTAACGACCCCGACCGCATCCAGATCGCCTTCGACGACCACCGCCTGGTCAGCAATGCTGGGCTGATCCTTCCGTCCACCTTGGCACTGCATCTGGGCCTGCCCCAACTGGTTGATCGGCACCTGGACCTGGGCCGTGCCCCAGGCGGAGCCAACACGGGCGACAAGATCATGACGCTGGTGGCCTCCGCCCTGGCTGGGGGCGACTGCATTGATGATGCCGACGGGTTGCGCACCGGAGGGACGGCCAGCGCCATCGGCTGCGTGGTCAAGGCGCCATCCACCCTGGGCACGTTCCTGCGCAGCTTCCGTTGGGGCCACGCCCGCCAGCTGGATCGGGTGAGCCGGGAACTGCTGGCCCGGGCCTGGGCCGCTGGGGCGGGACCCCGATCTTTGAACAATCACGGACCGTTGACCATCGACCTGGACCCCACCATCTGCGAGACCTACGGTCCGGCCAAGGAGGGAGCCCGCCACCACGGCTACACCGGCCACCACGGCTACACCGGCCACCACGGGCTACACCGGCCAGCGGGGCTATCACCCGCTGCTGGCCGTCGCCGCCGGCACCGGCGATGTGCTGATGGCCCGGCTCAGGGAAGGTCGCGCCAACACCGCTCGGGGCGCCGCCCACTTCCTGCGTGAGACGATGGGACGGGTACGCTACGCCGGAGCCACCGGACTACTCACGGTGCGGGCCGATAGCGGCTTCTATAACCACGCCATGGTGTCCACCTGCCGCCAGCTGGATGCCCGCTTCTCCATCACCATCCGCCAACACCAGAGCCGGCGCAACCAGATCGAGGCCATACCCGAGGGGGACTGGACGCCCCTACCCTACTGGATGGACGGCGCTGCCGACGTGGCCGAGACTACCTACATCCCCTTCGAGAGTGCGCCCGACGCCGCGCCGGTGCGGCGCATCGTCCGCAGAGTGCAGCCCACGCCCGGTTCTCAACTGGCCCTCTTGGCCGACTACAGCTATCACGGCTTCATCACCGACCGGGACGGAGGCACTCTGGAACTGGAGGCACTCTGGAACTGGAGGCCGATCATCGCCGCCACGCCGAGATCGAGAACGCCATCCGCGACCTCAAGTACGGCGTGGGACTGAACCATCTCCCCTCAGGGCGTTTCGCCGCCAAGTCCCCTTGCAATCTACGGCCTGGCTGGCGGTCCAGGTGATGGCCCACAACCTGGCCCACTGGGCTGCGCGCATCGGTCTGGGCGAGCAACTGGTGACCACCAAGACCCTCCGACGGCGGTTCTTCTCCATCGCCGGACGGCTCACTCGCTCGGCGCGCCGCCGCACTCGGCATCTTCCCCAGCGCTGGCCCTGGGAAAACCAGTTCACTCACGCCTGGGCCCGAGTGCGCGCCGTTCCCCTACCAGCCTGACGACGCGCCGTCGGCGCCCAACCCGTCCGCCGGACAACCCATGGGCTGTCCCGCCGACCCATGCCAGCCCAGCCCGCCAGCGCCACTTCCGGCATGCCGCCTGGCCGTTTTCGCCTGCCGCCGCCACTGCGGGCCAGTACCTTGCCACTGGCGTGGCCGCCACCGACCGCCCTGAACCACATCTATTGGCGATCGGGCCGGGCTCGTTCGCCTTTCTTACCCATCATCCCTCACGTCAACGCTAGAACCGCATCCCTTCGGTGGATTCGGGGTAACACCTCGACAGGATTGCCGCGCTGCGCTCGCAATGACAGTTCATTAAGGAGAGTGGGTATTCGGGATCTGGACGGGAAAGCCGCGCTGCGCTCGTAATGACAGTTTGAGGGGCGGGTGGGTTGCGAGAGCGTTCGCTATAATCGGCGCAGATTGCAATGGCATGACATTGGGGTGAGCCAGATGGAAATCAAGGACGGCGTATTCATCGTGACGGGTTCGGCCACCGGCCTGGGCGCCGCCGTGGCCCAGCGCCTGGCGGGCAAGGGCGGCAACGTGGTCATCAACTACACCAAGAGCGAAGCGGAAGCGCAGGCTACTGCGGAGGCGTGCCGCAGCCTGGGCGGGGATGCCCTGCTGTGCCAGGCGGACATATCGGTGGACGAGGACTGCCGGCGGATGGCGGCGGTGGCGCTGGAACGCTGGGGCAGGATCGACGGGCTGGTGAACAACGCCGCCACGTCGGTGATCGTTCCCCACCACGACCTGGAGGGTCTATCCTCCGAAGACTTCCAGCGCGTCCTCTCGGTCAACGTGGTCGGCGCGTTCCAGATGGTGCGGGCCGTCACGCCGGCGATGCAGGAACAGGGGAAGGGAGCGATCGTCAACGTGTCGTCCGGCTCGGGCTTCAGCGGCTCCGGCAGTTCGATTGCCTACGCGGCATCCAAGGCGGCTCTGAACGTCATGACCTACTCGCTGGCCCGCGCCCTGGCTCCGGAGATCCGGGTCAACGCGGTATGCCCCGGCGTGATGCAGACCCGCTGGTGGCGCGAGGGTTTGGGCGAGGAAAACTACCAGGGCTTCATCGATCGCTACGCCGCGTCCGCGCCGCTGGGATCGGCCGGCACTCCGGAAACCGTGTCGGAGCCGGTGGTCTGGCTGCTGGAGGGCGCGGAGCACGTGACTGGGGAGACCATCCTGGTGGACGCGGGCAGCCATCTGGGGCCGGCCCCGACGCGGCAGCGCTGACGCTTGCTATCGGCAACAATGTAGGCGACGCACGAGCGCATCGTCCGCGGTTGTGCCCGGTCGGGGCCGGCGCCGATAATGCTCCCGCGTACCCACTTTGCACAATCGGCCATTGCGAGCGACTCCCCGGTCATTGCGAGCGACTCCCCGGTCATTGCGAGCGCAGCGCGGCAATCCCGTCGCCGGAGGGATCCTCGCTTAATTCAACCAGATCGCCACGTCGCTGCGCTCCTCGCGATGACAATGCGGGTACGCGTGAGGCCGATAATATCCTTGACACAGTATTGAGAGCAGGGCCATACTGCCGCTCTTAAGGGAGAGGAATATGGCCTCATTGAATCTTCGTCCCGATCAGTTTTCGCTGCTCGGTCATCGCATCCACTACGCTTGGGCGATCGTCGCTATCACCGCAGTGATGCGGCTGGTGTCGTCTTCGTTCCGGATGTCGTTCCCGGCAATTGTTCCCATCATTTCCGAGGTGTTCGGCTGGAGCGAAGGAGTCATCCTGCTGGCATTCTCCCTGCAATGGGTAGTGTCAGGGGCGTTCGGTCCGCCATCAGGATGGCTGGGCGACCGCTACGGCGCCCGGTTCACCATGACGCTGGGAGCATCCCTGTATATCGCCGGCATGGTCTTGACCGGCTTCATGACGGAGATCTGGCAACTCTACCTTTTCTTCGGCGTCCTCCTGAGCGCGTCAATGGGCATATTCCAGGTCCCGTTGACCGTGGCGGTGACGTCGTGGTTCCGTCGGCATCTGGGCCTGGGCATGGGGATTCTGCAAGGTTCGCAGGGCTTCGGCCCGGTGATAGCGCCGCCCGTCATGCTCGGCTTGGTGGCGTTCTTCACCTTCGGCCCCGGCAAAGAGTGGACCGGCCTGTTCCCCTGGCTGGAACCCGACACCATTGGTTTGCGGATGGCGTTCTGGATCCCCGGCATCGTGGGCGGCGTGATCCTGCTGCTGCTGACCCGCATCTTTTACAACTCACCCGAAGACGCCGGACTGCGCCAACTTGGCGCCGACGCATCTGAAGCGCCCCGACGCGCGCCCACCACCGGTGTGGGGGCCAAGGAACGCGCCCGCGTGTTCCTGCAGCAAGTACGCAAGACCCCGGCTTTCTGGAACCTCGTCGGCATCCACTACTGGGGGTGCGCGGGACACAGCATCGTCATCGTTTTCCTTCCCATCATGGTGGTGGAGGCCCTGCGACCCGTAGGCGGATACCAGGGTATCCAGGACCCGGCGTTGCTGAGCGCCACGGCCATCGGCGCCGGCGCGGCGGCCACCATGAGCCTGGTCAGCACATTCACGCGCTTTGGGGTGCCCATCGCCGCTGACCTGTTCGGCAGCAAGTGGGTGATGGCCATCTGCTTCGCCTTGCAATTCGCGCCGGTGGGGATCCTGTTCTTCGCCGACTCCCCGTGGATGTTCTACCTGTTCGCTATTTTGTTCGGCATCGGGTTCGGCGGTGAGATGTCCGCCTTCCCGATCATCAACCGGCAATACTACGGCAGCGCACCCATCGGCAGCGCCTACGGGTTCCAGATGATGGGCGCCGGCGCCGGCATGGCATCGGGCGCCGGTTTGGGGAGCCTGCTGCTCATCGGTGTGCGGGAACTGGGGTTCCCAACCTTCCTCGACAACCCCTACTGCTGGACAATCCTACTTTCATTCGTCATGAGCCTGGGCGGGGTGGTCGCCATCCTGTTCCTGCCCAACACCCACAAACACCAAGTGCCCGACTGGGAGGAGCAACTTGCTCCCGAGTTTCGGACCGGCGCAGCCCCGGCCTCTCCGGCGCCGGCTGCTGACGGTGGATCGCCCGCGCCAGCGACATCCGGCAACGACAACTGACGCGGTTCGTCAATTCATGGCTCAATGCTGGGGGCGGTTCCTGAAACCGCCCCCAGTGGTTTTATGGCGTCGCCGGCGTTATCATGTCGCCAAATAGACTGTATCCACCGCGCCTTCACCCGCACGGGAGAATGGCAGACGACGACAAGGAGGCACAACCATGGCAGACGGAATTACTATCCTCGTAGGCACCGCCGGACAGGGAGTCATGCGCAGTATCGACAGCGGGGACTCGTGGCGGCGCGTGGGCATCACGCAGGGCATCCATTCGGACGCCGTGGTGCGCTGCCTGACGCCCGTCCCCGGCACTGAGAGCGCCGTCTTGGCCGGATGCGACAGCGGCATCCTGCGCAGCGACGACAACGGCGACACCTGGCGGCGCGTCGACACCGCGATGAACGGTACCGCCGTCTGGGCCATCGCCTTCGACCCGTCCAACCCGCAGGTCGGATTCGCCGGCACCGGCACGCCCAACCCGTGCCAGATCTACCGGACCCGCGACGGCGGCGCCAGTTGGGAACTGCGACCGTGCGAAGTCGCTGCCGAGTGCCCGGCTGTCGGCGTGCCGCGGGTCACGGGAATCGCCATCGACCCGACCAATGGCAACAGCATCTGGGTGGGCATCGAGGTGGACGGCCTGCGCCACAGCTCCGACGGCGGCGACACCTGGGAGACCGTGCCGCACCAGGACATTCCGAACATGGACATTCACAACGTCACCGTGACGGCCGGCCCCCCGCATCGGGTGGTGGTGATGGTCAACGATGATGTGTTCCTGAGCGATGACGACGGCGATTCGTGGCGCAACCTCGGCGTCCGCCAGAACTTCCCGTTGGGATACCCCGAGGCATCAAGGTGAAGGCCGACGACCCCCAGACCATCTTCACCACCTTCGGCGACACCACCCCCGGCTCGACCGGGGTCGTGATGCGCTCCACCGACGCCGGCGCGACGTGGAACAGCCTGACCCTTGCCCGTGGAACCCAACACAGCGATGTGGGTGGTCAACTCCCAGCCGCAGAACCCCGATTTCCTCCTGGCCGGCAGCCGGTACGGCTACCTGTACCAGTCGGCCGACGCCGGCGCATCGTGGAGCAAGTTGGACCGGGAATTCAGCGAGATCTCCTCGGTGATGTGGTTCCCGAACTGAACGGTTCCTGAATTCTGAAGGTTAGCGCGGGTCCGCACCAATCGCGGACCCGCCTGCTTTGGCGCGCTCCAACGCGCCGAAATCCCCCGGCGGCGTGGCGAATCCATGGCCGTGATACACTTACGTCGCCCGAAGACCGACCCCGATCAACGCATGGAGGCGAAGCACGATGCCCATGGATGTAGCGACGAAAATTGCCCTGATCAAACGGCTGGCCGGAGACATCCACGGCCGCCTCTCCGCGAGCTCTGCGGAAGACCTGAACGCCCAGTCCGCGTGTTCTGAGTGGGACGTGGGAGCCGTCGCCGCTCACCTGGCCGGCGGCGCCGTCCGTCAGAAGGAGGCCATGGTGAGAGGGCGGGCCGGCGAGGGCGGGCCACCCGAAGGCGAGAGTGTTCTCCCGACTCCGGACCAGGTGCAGGCGTCCAACGCCAGCACCGTGCAGAGCCGCACCGCTTGGGGCAACGATCTGCTGGACGATTTTAGCAAGAACTACGGGGACCTGGACGAATTCCTTCACGGCTGGAGCGACTGGTCCATCGGCTGCTGGCACCGCCGACGGGGTACCATCACCGCCGAGAGTTATGTCGATCTCAGGATCCAGGAACTGGTGATCCACGACTGGGACATGCGCGCCGGAGACACCGGCCAAGGGGAACTGGACCCCGAAGGCATCGTGGCCCTGCTTCCCGCGTCGGAAATGTGGTACCAACTCTGCTTCCGGCCCACCGCGCCGCTGACCACACCCGCCGTGTACCGGTTCGAGATCGGCGGCGGCTGCCGACGGGGCGAACCTTGAGCACGATGTGGTGGTGACCGGCGACGCTTACACCGTGTCGGAACGCTCACCGGAAAACCAACCCGAGCTCACCATCCGCGCCGACGCCAACACCTACCTGCTCTGCCTGTATAACCGGGTGGACTGGAACACCGCCAAGCGCGCCGGACACGTGCGGGTCTCCCAAACCGCCGACACCATCGCGCACGTATCATTAAGAAACCTTGGCCGTTGGTTCGGCGGGTTGTAGACACGCCATCCATTAGACGAGCCCTATAGGGCAACCACAGGCACGGGATACGATGACTTCCTATGATGAAGAGGTAATCCGCCAGGAGGTTGCGGTCATTGGGGCATTGGCCCGAGGGCTGAACCAGTTCCTCAACGACTTGTCACCCAATGACCTGCGTCGACACTCCGCGTGCGACGCATGGACCGTGCGCGACGTGGCCGGCCACCTCACCAACCGCGCCGAACGGCAGATCACCAGCATGACCCGCGGACGCGAGGGCGACTCGGGCCCGCCGCCCGGGTTCAGTGCTCCGTCGGACATGATGGCAATGTCGGCCGCCAACGCGGACGCCGACATCGCCTACTCCATTTCCATGGGCGACGATCTGCTGCCCACCTTCGAGCGGCGCTATCGGGAACTGCACCTGCTGCTGAACAGTTTCGGCGGCGACGATTGGCGCTGCGCCTGCTGGCATCCCCGCCGGGGCACCATGACGGCGCGCGAATACGTCAGCCAGCGCATCCAGGAGCTCGCAGTGCACGACTGGGACATCCGGAGCGCGTTTCGATCCGCAGGCTCCCCTGCATCCGGACGCGATCCCCGTGTTGTTGGGGATGTCCGCGCGCTGGCTCCGGTCTGCCTACAACCCGGCCAATGATCCCCCGTCGGACGAAATCCGCTACCATTTCGCGCTTGCGGACGCCGCGCCAATTGACGTGTCGGTGCGACCCGACGGCGTGCAGGTCGGCGCGGGCCTCCATCCTAACCTCGACGACATCGACATGGTGGTCGCCTGCAACGCCAACACGTACCTGTTGCTGGCCTATGGCCGCGTCGACGTGGACACGGCGGCGAACAGCCTGGTCGCCATTGGAGAGGAAGGGCTGCTCGAGCGGTTCGCCAGTTGGATGGTGGGGTTCTAAACCCGCGCCACCGCCGGAACCTCGCGGGCCACGAGGCCGGGTGTCATGGCAGATACCACGGTCAGCAGCGACCGTCCCCGCATCTTCCTCACCGGGGCCACCGGCTATGTTGGCGGCCGCCTGCTGGGCGCTCTGGAACGCTCCGGATACCGCGTTCGTTGCCTGGCGCGGCAGCTTTCGGCCACAATGTCGCCACACAGCGGCTCATCGCCTGCTACCACCCCAGCTAGCAGAACACCCAAACCGGCCGCCTCACGATAGACATGCTCGACACCGTCTTCATCCGCGCCCGGGCGGCGTGTATGCCGTGACATTAAGCTGCTACGACCCCTATGAAGCGTTGATATTATGAAATAGCCTGTAACCACGCCGCATCAATGGCAATGTTTGCCGTCGCTGCTGGATCAACTAACTCATTAGGAATGGCAAAATGCCCCGACCACGGCAGAAGATAGACAGCGCTTCACCAAGCCTCGGGAGTAAAGAAACGATTCGCGAGGAAGGCGTCAATACCCTATTCGCCCAGTTGCTCCGAGACCAGGGCATCTCTGCCCGCGCCGAGCGCCGGAGCCGCGGTACCACTCCCGACATCCGCGTGACGCTGAAGACCGGCGACACAGTGTTGTTGGAATGCAAGTGGGAGGATTCCGTCAGCCAGTTGGAAAACCAGCTTGACACTCGCTTACAGCAATTCCCGGACGCGTTGGGCGTTATTGGCGTCCTCTATCCCGAAGGTTTGAAATTCCTGGACGATACCCGCGAAGGCCTAGAAAACGCCGGCGATCTCGAATGGTGGCTCCACGGCTCTAAGGGTGCCCTCGCAACCGAACGCCTCTCCCGCTTCGGTTCTCCTGACGACATCGCTGACCAGCTACGTGTGCTGGCGTTGGAACTCGAAGGCTCCGATCGCGTTGTCGCGGCCGCTGGAGTCATCGAACACGCGGTGGAGCAATCGGCAAAGCAATTGTCCGCACACGCTCGGATTTCCCGGCGTGTCAAGGACATGATCGCCAAAACCGATCAGGAGAATGACCGCGAAAAGGCTTTGCGAATCGGATGCCTCGTGATTTTCAACGCTCTGGCGTTCCACTTGCGACTCGCCTCTTCCAATGATGACGTCCCGACGGTGGCCGAAGCGTGGCGAGACGGTATTCCTGGACTTTACCAAGCTTGGCGTTATATCTGCGACAACATCGATTACGTGCCCGTTTTTGACCTTGCCTCCGGCATCCTGGATATTCTCATCGACGGCCCGACTGAATTGCATGAACCGGTGCTCTCGCCCCTCCTCAAAGCGATTGCAGATACCAGCCAATTGGAAGGACACGACCTATCCGGGAGACTTTTTCACACGTTGCTCACGGACGCCAAGTTCACTGGCGCTTACTACACCTCTGTTCCGGCTGCCACTCTTCTTACACGGCTCGTGTTCCACGATTGGCCAGTGGGCGTTGACTGGAGCGACCACGAATTTCCTGCGTCGCTCAATGTAGCCGATATCGCCTGTGGTACTGGAACGCTGCTGATGGCCGTGGCCGCCGAAGCCGAACGCCGCCACACCGAAGCCGGTGGACAAAACGTTGCTGCGTTGCACAAAGCGATGGTGGAGCAAGCCCTCCACGGCTATGACGTCCAACTTTCAGCCGTACACTTCGCCGCCACCAGTTTGGCGATGCTCAACCCGAGCATCCAGTTCGACCGCATCAACCTCTACGTTATGCCGTTGGGAGCGGACGGTGACGACGTTTCTTTGGGTTCCTTGGATTTCCTGGGAGAAAATCAAGCCGCCGTCCAGTACGCCCTTTCCCCAGACTCTATGGGCGGCAGCGGCCGAACGATCCGCGACGCCGGTCGCGTGGCCGGCAGTGGTCCCAACGGAAACCGGGAGGCGGAACTTGCCACCCTCCCCGACTTGGACTTAGCGATTATGAACCCGCCCTTCACCCGTTCCGTGGGCGGAAATCTCCTGTTCGGAAGCCTGCCCGCTCCGGAACGGCGCAAGTTGCAGAACGAACTATCTCGTCGCCTCAAGTCTCGCCAGGCTACCGCTACCGCAGGCCTCGGAGCCGCGTTCGTGGCCGCCGCGTCCCCAAAGCTACGGCCCGGCGAAGGTCGTCTCGCCCTGGTACTGCCGGCCACCGTCTGCACTGGGCCATCCTGGCAACAGACCCGTGCTCTTATTGAGCGAGACTTCACGCTTGACGTGGTGGTCATCTCCCACGACCCGCAACGCTGGAATTTCTCAGATAGCACCGACCTCTCCGAAGCTTTGCTCATCGCCACTCGACGACAACCCGCCAACGGCAACGGAGACGCCCCCGAACACCGCACTACTTTCGTCAGCCTGTGGCAGAACCCTAGCGGCGTCCTCGACGCTCACCGCGCCGCCCAAGTTATCATCGACACCGCACCGGCCAACGTCGAAGCAACCGGCGCATCCCTTCTGGAGGTGGATGGCCGACACATCGGTGAACTGCTATCTATTCCCGAATCCCGGCTTATTGGCAAGAAATGGGCCGGAGTGCAGTTCGCCCGCGCTGACTTGACGCGCAGTTCCCTCCGCCTCTTGGACCACGGGGAAGTGTGGGTTCCCGGCGAATCAACCACCGGCAAGATCCCCCTCTGCCCGCTCGGTGAACTCGGGCAGATCGGCCCCGATCGGCGTCGACTGGTAGATGGGTTCGACCGGACAACTTCCCAGACAGCCTACCCGATGGTTGAAGGACACGATACCGAGCAACGAATGTCCCTCGCCTGTACGCCGGATGCCTACTTGTCACCGTTAGTTAGTCCTAAAGGCGGACAGCGCCCGGGATATGGCGATCACCTCTGGCAACAAGCCGGCCGTCTGCTGGTTGCCGAACGGCTTTGGCTGGAAACCACTCGAGTCATCGCGATGCGATCTGAAGCACGGGTGCTATCCAATGTTTGGTGGCCCGTCAAGGTCGACGATATCTCGCACGAGAAGGCACTGGCAGTTTGGCTCAACTCCAGCCTAGGTCTGCTGACTATTCTGGCGCAACGTACCAGCACCAGAGGTGGCTGGGTCGCGATGAAAAAGGCGGATCTGGAGGTGTTGCCGGTTCTCGACTCGCGAGCGATGTCAACGGAACGGTTGCAAGCTTGCGCCGAACTGTTCGACTCATTGATTGAGGACGAATTCCAGCGCCTTCCGGCTATGACCGATTGCCCGGTCCGCCAACGCCTCGACACCGGCATCTCCAAAATCATGGGCCTTCCCGACCTTGATGGGCTACGCCGCCTGCTAGCCTCGGAGCCAGTGGTTTCCAACCGTCGGTTATGAAGGCGAACATTCCCAGCCCCCCATGCTAAAATCCCCGGCAACCCCATAAAGGAGACACCCCCCGTTATGCAGTACGACTACATCGTGGTCGGCGGCGGTTCCGCCGGCTGTGTCATGGCCACCCGACTTTCCGAGATGACTGACAAGTCCGTCATTCTGCTGGAGGCCGGGCCTGACTACCCGGACTTCGAGCATCTGCCCGAGGACCTGAAACAGGGCAACAACACCTGGCTGTCCGCCTATGGCCCGCACAGCTGGGACCTGCGCGGCCGCGCCAATCCCTTCGCAGGACGAGCCGATGGTCATCCCGCGCGGCAAGGCCATGGGCGGCTCGTCGTCCATCAACGGCCAGGTGGTCTTCCGCGGCATACCCGAGGACTACGACCTCTGGGCCGAGTGGGGCAACGACGAGTGGAAGTTCACCGACTGCCTGCCCTTCTTCCGCAAGCTGGAGAACGACCGGGACTACAGCGGCGACGACTTCCATGGCTCGGAGGGCCCGCTGCCGGTGCGCCGGCCCAAGCGCCAGGACTGGCTGCCCTTCAACACCGCTTTCTACGACGCCTGCGTCCGCCTGGGTATCCCCGAGCACCCCGACCAGAACGCCCCCGACTGCTACACCGCCGTTTCGCCGCGGCCGATGAACAACATCGACGGCGTGCGCATGAGCACCTCGCTGACCTTCCTCAGCACCGCCCGCCACCGGCTCAACCTGACAGTGCGGGGCAACATCTACGCGCGCCGCGTCGTGCTGGACGGCAACCGGGCGGTGGGCGTCGAGGTGGAGAGCGGCGGCGAGATCTTCACCGTGGAGGGCAACAACGTCGTGCTGTGCAGCGGCACCATCGGCTCCGCCCAACTGCTGCTCCTCTCGGGCATCGGACCCGCCGACCACCTGCGCGAAATGGGCATCCCGGTGAACCACGAGCTGCCCGGCGTGGGCATGAACTTCCGCGACCATCCCGCCGCCTATATCCTGTTCCGCGGCGAGGGCGAGGAACCCGACACCTTCGCGCCCAACATCCAGGTGGGCCTGCGCTGGAGCGCGGACGACTCGCCGACCAAGTCCGACTTCCAGATCACCCCGACCCTGATGACCAGCGAGCACCGACCATCCAGCATCAGCTACGACGGTTCCGGCTTCCACTTCGGCCTCAGCGTGGGGCTGCAGAACGCGGTCGGGGCCGGTCGCCTCTCGCTCCAGTCCACCGACCCGGCAGTCCAGCCTGATCTCGACTACCAGCTGTTCAGCAGTCCCTACGACCGCCAGCGGATGCGTCAGGCCATTCGCAAAGCCCTGGAAATCGCCGAGGAGTCTCCCTTCAAAGACTTCATCGTCGAGCGGTTGAATCCGGTGGATACCGACCTCGTCAGCGACGACGCCCTGGACAACTGGATCCTTCGCAACGCCTACACCCAGCACCACATCGCCGGCACCTGCAAGATGGGCCCCGCCAGCGACCCCATGGCAGTGGTCAGCCAGCACGGCCAGGTCCACGGCATCGAGGGCCTGCGAGTGGCGGATGCCTCGGTGATGCCCGACGTGATCCGCGCCAACACCAACGCCACCACCATAATGATCAGCGAGCGCGTCTCGGAGTTCATCAGGCGGGAGCATAGTTCCGACAACAGTTACCGCGCGTAGGGGCAAATGATGATTCGCCCCTACTTAGGTGTGGATGGTGCATCATGTCCGTCGTTTCAGCGGCTGCGTGCCCATTGTTCGTTACCCAGATTTTCGCTCTTTAACGGCCCAGCTTATCCATCCCCACTTCGTCCATAAGATTCTCCACAACTCCAATGAACGTAGGGTCCACGACCGCAACGTCGTCTTCTCCTCTCGTCAGGACGTCCATTTCCATCAATGCGCTCCAAGCCCTACGAGAATTCCACCGGTTGCCGTAATTTCGAGAATCATCAGCTGTCCATCTGGCTGGGTGTACAAACGCATCGAATAGCAGTGAGCATTCATGAATGTATGCGTACAAAGACCTTAACCCGGCCTTCCCACCCGATACGCAAAGGCCAGTCAGTGCGTTACGCGTTCCGTCCTGTTTCATCTGCCCGATAGTTTGGGCCCGTAATAGGGGTTTATTGCGGATTGTCCGTGTCAGGGCCATGACCCAATCAATAATTTAGGCAACACCCAATATCCCGCGACAAAACCTACCACATAGAACGCGACCCGACGGGAGGTTTTAAGCAGCGAATCCATAACGCTTGGATCTTCGTCAGCTTGGGCGGGGCGCTCCATTGAGTCTGGTCACCTCCATGCCCAGCAATCTTCCCGATTGGGCGCAATATGGGTTCCAATCGCTCAGGGTGAAGTAGTAAAACTTCTATCGTATACGAGTCTCCCTGATCAAAGATAGTTTTGGGGAGGCCAACAAAACCTGGACGACTAGGCGTGAGAGACAAATCTGAAGCCAAGTATTCGGCGCTCGCTTCGATGCGCCTGGCTTCGATCACGTCGCTGTCTTGGAACTGGATCCCCCAATCGTTATCATCGTAGTCGTTGATCCGTATATGTGTTCCTCCAGAATTTTGTACGTTGAGCGTGATTATCCGTAGATTCAGATTTTGCTCTTGAAGATCCTTTCCTTGAAATTCAATATCCAAATCATCTACGGGTCTGTACAAGTCGAGCACATCCGCTTCACTGACAATCTCGAAAGTTATACCCGGCTCTCGACCAAAGATTGCCCAATTTGACCAAGGGATCAACGGACTTACCACTGCAAATATCCCAACTAATAGCGAGGCGAACGTTACGGCTGCCAGCGTTTTTCGCCCCGTCATCCGATCCCAAAGACCGGGACTAACACCTGACTCTTCATCACTTGGTTTGATCGCCATTGGAATTTAGTCCTCCAGAATAAATCGGAATCGGGGGGCGCACGACTGAACACATTAAAACATGCTCAATCATGATCAAGCCACTGTGATGCGAGATGCTTTGTCAGTGTACTGTTCAACTCGCGCCAAGCAGGGAGACTACCCTATGTTAATCGTACCAACAATCCCATGAACTTCGAGACCATTGCCGCCCAGGCGGCCCACCAGATCGATCCGGCCACGGGGGCGGTCGCGCCTCCCATCTACCTTTCGACCACCTTCGAGCGGGACGCGGACGGCGAGTACTCGCGTGGGTTCGTCTACTCCCGTGTTGACAATCCAAACCGCCATGCCCTGGAAGAGTGCCTCGCCCTGCTGGAGGGTGGGGAAACAGGAAACGCGGCGAGCGCTGCCTTCGCCTCCGGTTCGGCGGCTACCGCTGCCGTGTTCCAGGCCCTGGCTCCCGGCGACCACGTGATCGCGCCGGACGACTGCTATCACGGCACGTCGCGCATGCTCCGTGAGGTGTTCGCGCCGTGGGGCGTCGAGACCTCGTTCGTCGACATGACCGATGCGGACGCAGTGCAGCGCTCCGTGCGCCCCAACACGCGCCTGGTCTGGGTCGAAACGCCGTCCAATCCCTTGCTCAAGATAACCGACATCGCGCGGATGGCCGCCATCGCCCATTCGGCCGGCGCTGCGTGCGCCTGCGACAACACCTGGGCCAGCCCGATGCTGCAGCGACCCTTCGAATCGGACGCCGATCTGGTCGTGCATTCGACCACCAAGTATCTGAGCGGACACGAGGATGTGACCGGTGGCGCTGTGGTCGGTCGTGAGGACTCCCCCTTCTTCCAGCGGGTCCGGCTGATCCAGAACCTGTGCGGCGCGGTGCCGTCGCCCTTCGATTGCTGGCTCACCCTGCGCGGCATCCGGACGCTGCCGGTGCGGATGCGGGCCCACTCAGCCAATGCGGGTCAACTGGCGCGGTTCCTGGAGGACCACTCCCAAGTGTCCGCGGTGCACTATCCGGGGCTACCGGACCATCCGGGCCACGATATCGCCGCCCGGCAGATGTCCGACTTCGGCGGGATGCTGTCCTTCCAGGTTGCCGGCGGGCGTGAGGCAGCGATGGCCGTCGCAGCCGGGGTGAAGCTGTTCGTGCGGGCCACCAGCCTGGGCGGGACGCAGAGCCTGATCGAGCACCGGGCGTCCATTGAAGGACCGGACACCACGACGCCGGACGACCTGCTGCGGGTATCCGTGGGGCTGGAGAACGCCGACGACCTGATAGGCGACCTCGCCCAGGCTTTGGGGTAATCTTATCGCTCTTGATGACGATCTCGTACGCCGAAGACAACCGTCTCCGCATGTTACGCAATCTCGACCTACCGATCGCGACCCACAGAATGTAAAGGGAACCATCGGGCAGCTTTGCCAAGGCAGAGCGCAACTCACCTGAGTTGATCCCGCCGCAGGTCAAATCGTCCATCGTCTTGCCGTGTGGTACCATCTGACCGCCAAACGAACGATCGGCGCGACGGTGGGAGACGATCACGGTGACCCAGATCAACGATTTTCCAAGAGACCCTAACGACGCCGAGCCCGGTGTCCAGCGGGGCCTGTCATATATCGCCGCCGACGAATTCGATCTGGCCATTGCCGAGTTTGATGAGGTCTTGGCCGGCGATCCCGACCATGTCCAGGCTTGGTGCGGTCGTGCCGCCGCCTTAGTGAGTCAGGGTCGCGAAGAGGAGGCGATGGACAACTACGATCGAGCCCTGTCCGTGGCCCCCAACAACGCAGCCGCACGTTTCGGCCGCGGAACCATCTACGCATCATGGGGCGAATTTGAGCTCGCCCTGGCGGAATTAGATCTAGCCACCGAAAACGACCCTAGCCTGGCTGCGGCCTACCTGGGTCGCGGTGTGGTGTACACCCAAATGGAACAGCACGATCTCGCCCTGGACAATTTCGACCGTGCCATTGGTCTGGACCCTTCCGACGTCCAGATTCACTTCCAACGTGCCGATCTCTGTTCCCAGCTCGGCCTGACCGACCAGGCCATCTCCTCCTACGGCGAGGTCGTAAAGCTCGACCCCGAGAACGCCGGCGCCCACATAGGTCGGGCCATGACCTACGCCGATGGCGGCAGGTTCCGCCAAGCCATTACCGACCTGAATCGCGCCATCAAAATCGACCCTGACGACCACTATGCTTATCTGGCCCGGGGCGGGGTGCGCGAGTTCACCGGGAAGGAGCGACAGGCCGTCAGCGACTACAACCGCGCCGTCCGACTGGCTCCCGAAGACCCACTGCCCTATCTCGCTCGAGGCCAAGTCCTGCTGGGTCAGGGCAAAACCGTTGCGGCGCTGGCCGATTATGAACAAGCCGTGGCTCTGGGGCCGGACAACCCGGAGGCTTACATGGGACGCGGATGCGTATATATCGAACTCGACGAGGCGAACCTGGCAGTCATGGACTTCAATACTGCAATCAGTCTTGACCCCGCGAACCCTACCCTCTACTTTCAGCGCGGCGTAGCTTATTTGCACCAGGGCAATGTGTCTCAGGGCGAAGCGGATATGGAGACTGCCAGCGCTTTGGGACTTGACCCGCAAGCGCTTGAAGCGGTGATGTTCGGACAATGATTGCACCAGCGCTGGCGCTTTGCCCTGTCATCGTAGAACCACTGGCCGCAGGAGGCTGACCATGTTTGACTTGCTGATCACCGGTGGCACCGTCGTGATGCCTACCGAAGCCGCTGCGGTGGACGTGGGGGTGCAGGACGGGCGCATCGTCGCCATCGGCGCTCCGGGCACGCTCATCGACGAAGCCGCGCAGACGATTGACGCCACCGGGCGCATCGTCACTCCCGGCGGGATTGAGCCTCATATCCACGCCGCCGCCAACGTCCAGACCGGCGTGCATCAGCAGGTCGAGGGCGTGCCCAACGCCGGGCCGCTGGACCACTCCCTGGGCGCAATCTGGGGCGGCACCACCACCGTGGTCGATTTCGCGCCGGCTCCCAACGAGGGCGAACTCGTCGGCGGCATCCTCGACTTCCTGTCGGTGTGGGAGGGCAACACCTACGCCGACTATTCCGCTCACGTGATCTATCGAACCAGCAACACCGCCGACAGCATCGCCCGCGTCGGCGAACTCATCAACAACGACTTTCCCAGCGTGAAGATCTTCACCACCAACATCCGACCGCCGCAGGACCCGCCGCTCAGCCTAACGCCCACCGGACGCATCGACAACGGACGCTTGGCCGACCTCACCGCGCAACTGGCCCGACACGATGGCGTCCTCGCCGTTCACGCGGAGGACGATGAGATCGTCATGTACAACTACCTGCTGGCGCAGCAGCGGGGCATGTGGGACTGGTACAACGCCCATCTCATCCACTCCAAGGAGGTGGAAGACGTCGCCTTCCGCGACGTGATACGGATCGCGGAACAGAACGGCGCCGGCATGTACTTCGTCCATGTCACCGGCAGCGACGGCGTCAACGCCGTGGCCGCCGCCCGGAGCCGCGGCCTGCCGGTCTACGGTGAGGTTCTCACCCTCGCGCTGTCCTTCAATGCTTACCAGTACCGCGAACCCGACGGCATGAAGTACCACACCTACCCTTCCCTCAAGTATCCGGAAGATGGCAGCAACCTGTGGAACGGCCTGCTGGGCAACGACCTGACCTTTACCGCCACCGACAGCAGCTTCACCACCTACCTGGACAAGACGGCTGGCCTGAACGTGCAGGACATGCGCGGCGGCAACATCGGCATCGAGATCCGCATGGGCGTCAACTACACCGAAGCCGTGGTGCGCCGTGGGATGCCCTTGACCCAGTTCGCCAATATCACGGCCACCAACGCCGCCCGCCTGTTGGGCATGTACCCGCAAAAGGGCGTCATCGCCCCCGGCAGCGACGCCGACTTCGCCATCATCGACCCCACTGTCCACAAACGCCTCACCATGGACGACCTGCACCTGCGGGACTACAGCCCGTGGGAGGGTTGGGAGATCTTCGGCTGGCCGACCACGGTCATCCTTCGCGGCAAGGTGATGGTGGACAACGGGCAACTGCAGGGCACGCCTGACGACGGCCAGCGCGTGCGCCGCCGGATCGATCCCGGCTGCCGCCCGGCTTCTGTATCAACGACGTGCCCGTTGCCTTCGTACGCGCATGCCGCGGGCCCACGTAAATGCGTCGTGATACAGCGCCTCGCTGAAAGCTGTACGCTCCGGCTGACCCCAGCCAACCGGAGGGTGTCGCTGCCACCATGGTAAACGACACACAGGACAATGTTCTCTTCTGCCGCTTCTGCGGCCACCTCAACCGGGGAACGGAGGCCGGCGACGAGAACATCGCCAGCGCCCGATGCGCCGGCTGCGGGGCGTTTTCGGGCCTGGAGACGGTCGCCGAATCTGAAGCCCAACAACGTTCGCGCCGCATCCGGCTGGACTTCCTGCGAAGCCGATTGATACGTGTCGCCATTGTCGTCCTGCCCCTGCTGGCGCTCACCATCTGGGTTTGTGGCAATACACGGGCTGCCCCCGGACCCGTCTGATCCATCGACCCGGATCGGTGATACTGCGGCAAGCGCCGCGGTGGACGACTGGCCGCAGGCCGGCCGCGGCGTGACCAATCTAGCCTCCGCCAGCGCTCTTGATCTGCCGCCTGGGAACGGCTCCCAGGACCCGCATGGAGTTACGTCGCCGGCGCACCCATAGTCGCCCCGCCGGCGGTCTTCGGGCGATCGGGTGTATCTGACCGACGAGGCGGGAAACGTGACGGCGTTGGATCGAGACACGGGAGACGTCGTGTGGCAGTACGAGTCCCGGCTCCCCGCCGGAGTTACCCGGCGGTGGCGGATGGGCTGGTGTTCGTCGTATTCCGACCCGGCCTGGTGTCGGCATTGGAGGCCGACACCGGAGAGGTCGTGTGGTCGCGTCGACTGGGAGCGGCCTCGCTACCATCACCCACCATCGCGGACGGCCGGCTGTACGTGGCCGAAAGCGACAAGAACCGTCTGATCGCTTTGGATGCCGCCAACGGCAAAACCCTGTGGGAGTACCGCCTCGGGGACTGGGTCATCGCGCCGCCAGTCGTGATCGACGACAAGGTGATCGCCACGGCCAACGACGCCAACGTACATGTCATTGACGCCGAAACTGGGCGGCGGCGCATGATCTATGACGCCGGTCGGTCCCGTTGGGTGCGCGGCGGCCCCATCGCCACCGACGACCTGCTTCACTTCAGCAGCTTCGGCGGACGGGTCTGGGGCATCGACTACCAGGGACACCGATACCCGCTGGAGCGGCAGATCCTGTACTTCCGAACGCTGATGTGGGTGTGGGGTTTCGTGAAACAGGGTCCCGTGCAGCAGGGAAACGTCTGGACCTCGTGGAGCGTGGACGACCAGCCCTATCAACCGGCGCTGTCGGGCACAACCCTCGTCGTCGCAGACGCCGTGGGTCCGGTCACCGCATTGGACTCCGTCGACGGTTCAGTGCTTTGGGAGATCGATATCGGGCGCGGACATCACGGCCCCCGCCACTACCGCGGGGCTCGTCGCGTTGGTGGGCGACGAGCTCGGCCGCGTAACGGCCCTCACGATCGCCGATGGTTCGACCGAATGGACAACGACTCTGGATAGTTCGATAACGGCGTCCCCGATCGCAGCGGGCGGCCTGGTCCTCGTACCCCACTGCGGCTGACGGCGGGACCCTGTTCGCCCTGTCCCACGACAAAAACTGATCGTCTCCGTTTCAGTCTTTTCTTCACGCCCCACGTGGGCGTTTTTTCGTGTGTCGTTTGCCCAAGCATTCGATTGCGTCGTTGTCGAGACAATTGGCGCCGCGTGGCATTCAGTCAATTATTATCATCATCAAACACAATAATATCTTTCGATGAGTATAACGCTTTTCGTCTTTACATAGGCCATCATGGCGCATTACGATTGCCCGCACCCGCATTGGGGTTGTTTTGCTGATCACACAAAAGCCCATATCACACAAAAGCCCATATATCGATATTATCCGCTAAAGATTACCCAGACAGCGCCAAGGCGTTCAAACCGAGTTCGTTCTGAGATGGAATTGGAGGGTAACTACTATGCGTCGTGTGAATCCAGGTATCAAAACCCTGTTGCTGGCCGGTTCTCTGCTGGCCCTCATCTTGATAATCGCCTGCGGCGGCGCGGCAACCGCTCCCGCGCCGGAATCGGATTCCTCCGCTGCTCCCTCCGGCGCGGCCGCAGGAGCGCAACCAGCAGCTACGGCCGCGCCTTCCGGCAGTTCAGCCCAGGCCCAACCCGCTGCAACCGCGGCGCCGGCCCAGCCTGCCGCGCCTTCCGGGCGTCCCACCGAGGCGGCGAATCCCACGCCCACGGTCGAACCGGTGGAAGTCCAGGCACCCGAAACCGACTGGGTCCATCAAGGCAAGCACGGGCGAACAATGAAGTGGGTGGCCCGGAACAACCCGGGGTTCTGGGACGTTCACTACGGAGCGAGCTTGACCACGACCCTGACACCGTCGGGTCCCAGGTTCAACCAGTTGGTGGAATACAACCCGGTTAACCCGGAGGAGATCATCGGCGACCTGGCGGAAAGCTGGGACGTCAGCGAAGACGGCACGGTGTACACCTTCTACCTCGCCGACGCTCGGTGGACGGACGGGCAGCCGGTGACGGCCAGCGACATCGTCTACAGTCTGGACCGGATCACCCTCCCCGACGCGTTCCGCGGCCGCACCAACAGCCTGCGCGATTTCTATGAACACAAGACCGCGGAGGTGATCGACGACCGGACGGTGCGCGTGCCCATCAAGTTTCCGGCAGCCACGTTCATGGTCAACCTGGCCTCGGACTACATGAAGATGTACCCGGAGCACGTCGCTGGACCCCTGACCCAGGAGGACGTCAACTGCTGCCCGGAGAACATGATCGGCTCCGGCCCCTTCATCTTCAAGGACGGCAGCTGGCAGAAGCAGGAGGCCTACGAATACGTCAGAAACGACGACTACTTCAAGGCTCCGCGTCCCTACTTTGACGGGTTCAAGGTCTTCCTGATCCAGGACGTGGCTCGCGCCATTGCAACGCTGAAGGTCGGCCAGGCCGACGGGACCTACTACCCGGTGCTGGCGACATACACTGAATTCGTCGAGCAGCTGGAACATGACACCGACGGCCGGATGCGCGCCCTGTTCATGGAAAACGTGCAGCGCGCCGGGCTTAATTACAACTGGCTGGTCGAGCCTTATGATGACCCAAGAGTCAGGACGGCCCTGTGGCTCGTCATTGACCAGGAAGAGCTAGTCGAGAAGATCCTTCGCGGCAACGGCACCGTGGGCACCCATTTCCACGTCGGGTTTGCCCCCAACGAAAGCGTCGAAGCGCTGTACGAGCTGCCGGGATACCGACGCGATGCCGACGGCAGCAAGTCCCAGGCGGACCTGGACGAAGCCAAGAGGCTGCTCGCGGAGGCCGGATACCCGGACGGGTTCAGCGGCACCATCACCACCATCCTGACCGGATGCACCGCCACCTCCGCCCAGTGGGTCAGCCAGGTCTGGAAGAACGAGCTCAACCTGGAAATGGAGATCGAGTCCAGCGACGTCGCGACCCTGTACTCCAAGTGGCGCAGCAACGACTACGAAGTGATTATTTCCTGCGGCAGCGGCATCATCCTCCCCGACCCCTCGGACATCCTCAACCAGTGGTACGGCATGGACACCATGCGCAACTCCGGCAACTGGACCACCACCGAGTTCGATAGGCTCAAGGTCGCTCAGGCCAAGGAGTTGGATCCCGACAAGCGCGAACAGCTTTTCACGGAGATGGTCGATCTTCTCCGGGCAGAGGTGCCACACTTTATGCCCACGGGTTGGATACACGCCGGCGGCACCCTGGACTACCGCGTACGCAACTACCACGTCCCGAGGACCATCCAGATGATCCACAAGCTGGACCACATGTGGTGGGACGAAAACGCGGAGAAGCCTCCAATAGGAACAGGCTATCAACCGTAGGCACAGTTGACTCGACATCTAGCGCGGATTTCGTTGATCGCCAGGCCCGACACCGGGAGGCATGATGACCACCTATATCGTGAGGAGGCTGCTCCTCTTCATTCCCACCATTCTCATAGTGACCATCATCATCTTCCTGTTGATGTGGATCGTGCCTGGCGACACGGCCATGCTGATCCTCACCGGAAACGATCCCAACGAGGGCGGCAGGGTCAATCTGGAGGACATCGAACGGCTGCGGGCCAAGCTGGGCCTGGACCGGCCCGTCCACATCCAGTACGCCGACTGGATTTGGGACATGGTTCGCGGGGATCTGGGCGAGTCCCTTTGGTACCAGACACCGGTGATCGACGAACTGGGAGGACGGTTCCTCACCACCATGCAACTGGCGGTGATGGGCATCTTGATGGCCTTCGTGGTTGCGGTTCCCCTGGGCATCATATCCGCCGTGAAACAGGACACCAAGCTCGATTACATCAGCCGGGCTTTTCGCCTTGCTGGGCATCGCCATGCCCACCTTCCTCATCGCCATCGTCGTCACCTATATTCTGGCATACGTCTTTGACTGGCTGCCCTCCACTGGACTACGCCGATTTGTGGGAGCAGCCGTTAACGAACCTGCAGCAGATGATATTCCCGTCCCTGGCCATCGCCTTCCACGACCTGGCGTTCACCGCACGGGTCACCCGCTCCTCCATGCTTGAAACGATGCGGGACGACTACGTGCGCACCGCCCGGTCCAAGGCCTGACCGAAGTGAGCGTCATCGGGAGGCACGCGCTGAAGAACGCCCTGCTGCCATCATCACGGTTTCGGGATATCAGTTCGGCCGGTTGCTCGGCGGTGTGGTGATCGTCGAAGTCATCTTCCTCGTCCCCCGGCATCGGATCAATGCTGATCGACGCCATCATCCATCGTGATTTCGTGGTGATCCAGGCGGTGGTGGTGCTGGTGGCGGCGGTGGTCATGTTCCTGAACCTGGTCATCGACATCGTTTACGGAGTGCTCGACCCGCGGATCCGCTATCAATAGCGCACTGACCATCAACGGAGCAGATTATGGCAACACGCGACCTAGCCGCAGAAAGCGGCGTTCAAGTTCGCATGCCCTTTTGGGTATTCCCGCCATGTACCGGTCGACGGTGGCGCATGCCCGCCGCAAACCGCTGGGCGCGGCAGGCGCTTGTGATCGCACTCATCATGATACTCGTGGCCGTCGGCTCCCGGTTGGCTATCCTGCCGTCGCGGACCCGTACGCTTCCGTCGGCGACATATTCCTCGGCCCCAGCCGCGAATTCCTCATGGGGACCGACGTCATCGGACGCCGATGTGCTGAGCCGTGTCCTTTACGGGCTGGATTTCGCTCTACGTGGGGATCGGGAGCGTGCTGATCGGCATAACGGCCGGTTTTGTCCTGGGCATCGTCAGCACCTACGCCGGCGGCATGGGTCGATCTGTTCGTCCCAGCGCGTGGTCGACGCTCTGATGTCGATGCCCGGCCTGATCCTAGCGTTGGCCCATCATTGCCATCTGGGTTCATCGACTGAACAATGTCATCCTGTCCGGCCATCGTGATCGGGATGATAGCGCCAGTGGTCCGCACCGTGCGCTCCCAGGTGTTGACCTCAGGAAATGATTATGTGTACGCTGCAAGAGCCATCGGCGCCCGCCGGGGCGAATCGTGGTCAACACATCATGCCCACTGCCTCGCCATTTACATCTCATGTGCGACTCACTACTACTGCGGATTCGCCATAATCATCGAGGCGTCGCCTCTGAGCTTCCTCCTCCTCCCTCGGAGTGGGCGCTCCGCCGGATGCATCCAGCTGGGGCGGCATCCTGACTCGTGGCCAGCAGGGAGTCTCGGAGACAGGCATCTGGCTTCTGGTGTCCCGCGGCCTCTTCTCTTACATCGCCGTGCTCGCCTCATTCAACGTCTGGCGAGCGACGCCCTGCGCGAGTCGTGCTGGACCCACGGCTGCGCGGGCTGCGGTAGGGGTAAGCGACGCAGAAACTCTCTGGGGCGGTGACACGCGGGCCTGACCCTTTTTGCTGTAGTAGATGGGTGGTGCGCGGATTCCCACGTATTGACATTGAACAGTCATACAGTAGCATCGCCGCCTGTCGGCGTTTCCCAGCCGAGACTATTTTTCGGCTCAGCGCGACCCCTCTCTGTCGTAACCTCCGCCCATCCAAGGAGGATCGATCAATGGCTTTCCGACCTACTTAACGCCATCGCGAGTTCTATGACGCTCGGTGCGGTGGCGCTGTCCGTTTTTCGTAGCCTGCGGAGGCGCCGCCACTGACGAACAGTCGTACACCGCGGCCCTCCAACGCACGAAGCGCTGCTTGCCGCAACGCGCAGACCTTGGACCCGTTCGCGGAGCATGTCCAGGAACCGACCCCCACGCCCGGCTGGATGTCGTCGCAACTGCGGTCCCGGCGTACCCACTGCGATCGCGTCGATCAGCGTCCCGATTGGTGCAGGAAGGCGAGAGCAGGCATACCGCGGTGATTCTCACTTGTAGCACAGTACCCGGATTTCTGGACGTTCACTACGGCGGTTCATGAACGACCGTGCTGATCCCTTCGGTCCCGCGGTTCAACCAGCTACTGAATGATAACCCCTCAATCCTGGCGAGATTATATCGCGACTTGGCCGTGAGTTGGAGGTCCTACGAGGACGGCGGCGAGTTCGGGTATTCTCTTTCAATAACCTGCACCCCGCCGCCAACTTCTCCGATGGACAGCCAGTCACCGCCGCTGACGTGGCTTTCTCATCGACCGAAATCACTTGGCGACAGTCACGAGGATACGCGTCCTTCGCGCCCGCAACAGGGTTCCTCAACAACTTCGTGGTGATACGTACGCCGAAGCATCGACGACAAGACGTGAAGATCCCTCTGCGGTTCCCGGCCGCGGCTTCCTCCGACCTTGCCTCCGACTACATGAAGGTGTACCCACAAGCATGTGGCCGAGAACTTGACCAGGAACAGGCCAACACGGGCAAGACCCAGGCCGAAGCCCTGACCGCCAGCAACGCGGGTTCGCCCGACAGCTGAGCGGCCCTCGGCCTGGGTGCTCGCGACTGGGAAAAGGACGTAGGGTATTCCTTTGATCGCAACCCGCATTAACGCTTCAAGACGGCCGGCCGTTCTCTTGACGGGCTTAAGATAGTCCTGATCAGAGACAGACGCCCGCCGCCTCACGGCCTTGCAGGACCGGGCAGGTCTACGGCACTACCACCCGTAACGTAGTTACCGCCGAAGAACATGGCCCGCTTGGAGATGACACCAACGGTCAGATGTCAGGGCTTCATCCGCGAAGCCTTCGGTATCAGGCGTCTTCATCAAACCACGACAAGCCGCCCTTCGACGACGCTCGTGTACGGATGAGCCTTCTAACTTGGGTCTGACCGCGACCTCGCGTGAAAAGTCCATCCTTGGGCTTCGGCAGCAGCCCGGCACTTTCGTCTCGCTCCCGGCGTGGAGTAGTAGACGCCTTGTAGCCCTGCTGCGCCGACACTTAACTCCGCGTACGGAGACCGGGCGGCAGCCTGACCGAGCGCGCCAAACTCCTGACGAGCTGGCTACCCTGGGGCGTTTTGAGATCACCGTAACGTGGTTAACAGCACACCCTTCGCTGTCCAGCGCCGAGTCGTCGCCGCAGATGCGGGAGGACAGTCCTGAACATCGACATCACGATCCAGCGACTTGGCCACCATGTACGTTGCGTTTGCGCTGACGGTCGTCGCAACTTTCGACTCTGTAGCACCGGCATCATCCTGCGAGAGCGATCCCGGCGACATCATTAACCACAATTCTATCTGCAGGACGTTCTGTCTCCGCCACCCTCACAATTGGCAAAACGACGAGGTTGACGATTGATCGACCTGCAGAAACGCCGGGAAGTTGATCCGGCACTTCGCCAGACAACAGGCCGGAAGGCTTGCGGACATCTGCACGCGGCGAAGCCATGGTGCCTTACTTCTGGTACTCAGCTGGCGGTGCTCTGGATTGCCGTATCCGCACTTCTATTACGCCTACCGTTCAGCTCATCAGAAGTGGGACCACGGTCTGGTGGGCCGGACGGTGAGGCATCGGAGTGCGACCAGACAGCGCGAACTCGACGCGGGTACAAACCTTAACCAGCGCGGCTCTTCGCTTTCTTAACGGCGTTTGCCCACACACATGATCGGCCGGCCCGAGAGGTCTACGCCGCGCCGGCCGATCATCGTGATAATGCCCGCCCATGCCCACAATTACATACCGACGGTCCGGCAGGAGTTGAGGGATGTCTCAGTACCTGATTAGACGGTTGCTCCTCTTCATCCCGACGATGTTATTGGCGACGATCCTGGTGTTCGCGCTGTTCTCATCGTGCCGGGGGATGCCGCCGTATTTCTGCTCACCGGCGAAGATGCCGGTGGTCGGATCAAAAAAAGGTAGAGGGCGGACGGAGGGGAACAGGTAGCAGTGGGGGGGAAGCGAAGGCGAGTTCCCCACCCGTCCTCTTAAAGGGAAGGTTATGTTACTCCTTCTACCTTTGCGCGAAGACCTTGGCTTGAACCGCCCCGTCTATGTACAGTACGCCGACTGGCTTTGGGGCGTCGTACGTGGAGACCTCGGAGATTCCCTCTACTACGGTACGCCCTTCGGCTTCGAATTGGTCGAACGGTTCGCCAGAAGTTTTGAGTTGGCGGTGCTGGCCATCGTGATGGCATTTTCGTTTTTCCTGCCGCCGATCCCTGGGGATCCTGTCGGCCATGAAACAGGACTCTGGAGTCGACTATGCGAGCCGCGTGATCGCCCTGCTGGGCATCGCCATGCCGACCTTCTGGATCGGTGTGCTCGTGATCTACGGCCTGGTATACGGCACCGGGTGGTTACCTTCCCTGGAATACGCCCACTTATGGGAAGATCCGATCCAAAACCTTCAGCTGATGCTATTGCCAGCCGCGGTGATCGGGTTTCACGACATGGCTTCACGGCGCGAGTAACCCGCTCCGCCATGCTGGAGTAATGCGCGAGGACTACATGCGCACCGCCCGCTCCAAGGGTTTGCGCGAATGGGTGGTGGTCGGCCGACACGCATTGAAAAACGCGTTGCTGCCGGTGATCACTGTTTCCGGTTACCAGTTCGGCCGATTGCTGGGCGGGGTCATCATCGTTGAGCAGATTTTTGTGGTGCCTGGCGTCGGCAAGTTCCTGATTGATGCCATCAACCACCGTGACTTTCCGGTGATCCAGGGTGTGATCCTCATGACGGCGGCGGTCGTGTTGCTGCTCAACCTGATCATTGACATGCTTTACGGGATACTGGATCCACGGATTCGATACTCCTAAACGAAGGGTTGGCCGGCAAAGCATGCCCGCGAGCGAATACCTGCAGGTGTTTTCATGATTGATCAATCCTCGGAACAGATGGTTTCGACCCGGGAGGCGGTCGCCCCGCCGGGCATGGCGGCGCGAGCGTGGACTGGATCCACACGCTTTGTTCGCACCAAACCTCTGGGGGCCATTGGCGGCCTGATTGTCCTTGTCCTGGCCGTGGTAGCACTCCTGGCCCCGATACTGGCTCCTTACGACCCGCGCTCCACGCCCGGCCTTCCCTGGGAGGCGCGAACGCCACCTACATTCTCGGAGCCGACTACGTGGGACGCGACGTACTGAGCCGCCTGATATACGGCGCGCGCATCTCGTTGTACGTCGGAATGGGCAGCGTGGTGGCGGGCATAACCGTCAGCTTTGTCCTCGGCGTGGCTTTGACTTATGCCGGCGGCATCATGACATGGTCGCGCAGCGGGTGGTGGACGCCCTGATGTCATTGGCGGGTCTGTTGATCGCCCTGGCGATTATGGCGGTGGTAACCCCCTCCCTGAACACCGTGGTCCTTGCCATCGTCATCGGCATGATCGCGCCGGTGATCAGGAAGGTCAGATCGCAGGTGCTATCGCTCAAAGAACTGGACTACGTAACCGCGGCCCAGGCTATCGGAGCGCCACCCTGGCGGATCATTTTCCGGCACATCGTGCCCAACTGCTTCGCCACCTACCTGGTGCTGGCCACCTACTATCTCGGCTTTGCCATCATCATCGAAAGTTCGCTTTCCTTCCTGGGCGTGGGGACGCCGCCCGACCAGCCCAGCTGGGGCGGGATGCTGGTGCGGGCTGCCTCGGCCCACGTGAAGAGCGGCCCCTGGCTGGCGATCTTCCCAGGGCTCGCCATCTTCGTAGTGGTGATGGGTTTCAACCTGCTGGGCGACGCTTTGCGTGACGTGTTCGACCGCCTGCGCGGGACGCTGATCTTGTCTGCGCCCTTCTTCCGTT